GCTTGAGGACGGCCCTCCGAGGCTGCTGGCTGTTCCCAGCAACCTTGGAGGGTGGACGTTCCTTTCAAGCGGGGGGAGGCTTGAGTCTCGTACCTGCTGCCACTTTGCTTCAGAGGCCCTGTGGGGGGAAAGGTCCCGTGTGCCATATCCGTGAAGGTAACGATCGAACACTACGACCTTGAAGGGGACCCCGTGACTGCAAGACCTTCATCCTCAGCGCGCTTGCCGGGGAGAGCACGTTCCACTGCTCCCACAACTCCCTTCTGTTTGCCATTCCGCCGATCACCCGCTACTTGGACGCTGGGCGGGGGAAACCTTCAACTACCAGGACGTGATTTTGGCAGGAAGGACAAGATAGTGAAGATCAACCTACGGGGGGATGGCGAAAGAATGCAAGCTATGTAAATTCGGGGATGGTATATGCACCACAGGTTTCCGAAAACAACACGAGCGTACAGACCCAAACTGCCGGTTACATGGGGTGATGGATAGGGGGAACAGCAGACCTCGACAGCCGTCAGAAGCCGCACCAAGTAAGCAGCCACCCCCCCCAGACGGCGGAGCTGCAACTTCCTCGCGACCGCTGTCGGAGATGACCCAGTTCCGGACGAGGCAGGGGAACCCATGGACACTTAGATTGGGAAGGAAGTTCTTGAAGACCAGAGTGCCGGGGGATACAGAGATGCCGCCACAAAAAAAACCAGTTTCCAAGAAGCTAGCCGCGTCACACATGGCCTTCTGCAAAAGGCACTCCCGACGCTGCCATATGGGGGACGTGGTGGACAAGTACCTCCGTTTGGTGGACAAATACCAACCGAGGGTGTTTGCTGAAGCACGCATCTACGTGGCTCGGTTTCCAGAACAGGCGGGGAGCTTGCTCAAACAGATCAAGAAGGTCCGCAAGCAGATCCGCAAATCGCGGAGAAGAGGAAGACGGACAAGACCAAAAACCCCCAGCAGCTCGGGGGAAGCTGCTACACCAGAGGCGGCTTCAGGTGCTCCACAAGGCGGGGGAACAAACCGTGAAGATGCACAGGGTGAAGAGCCAACACCAACGACAAGGACCGAGCATGCGAAAAAGGGGAACGCAGACGCAGTCAGTGAGAGAAGGGGAACCGTGGACGCTGACACGCCGCCTGACTGGGGAGACAGCTCTGGTGACGATGCTGCACCGTCGTATGAGTGGCCTTGGGGGGAAGCCGGTCGCCCTTCCGACCGGGGTGACAGCCCGAGCCACCTTGCACTTCGACCGAGTGAACCAAGTGAGAGGGGACGTATCCACCTGGTTCCCAACGAGCAATGGCGGGGAGTGCAGCTGATACAAGAGCATATGGCCAAAGCTCGTACAGCACGTGCCTTTCGAAGCTGAAGGGGAAGCCTACTCCTGATGGGGGACTTGTCCCTCTGCAAGTTTTGCCCAAACTTGGTGCCGAGTGCCTGCTGAGAAAAGACAACTTCTGAGGGGGATTAGGTGTGAACTTTTAACGGCTATAGTGCCATCTATCTCCGTTCAACCATGTATAGGGCCATTTCGCCCACAAATCTTAGTTTCTTTTCAACTCACTTGTAAGCCCAGTGGGAATTCGGGGGACTGCTTGAGCCTCAAAACCTGCTCAATGAAGCAGGGGAAAAAGCACGTTTTTGGCCCAGCACCCCAATCCTTTGAGTCCTCCACCGATTCGGGCCCCAGCCTCAGTTTGTTGCACTGCTTCGCATTGTTTGTGATTTGTAAGGCCATCGGTTGGGGGACTCTTTTCCTTTGCAGTGTAAAACCAAGCCTGGGAAATTCATTCCCGCCAAGGACCGCGGTTGCGCACTCGCGTGCGGGGGGAGGGGCTTGACCTGCCCCGAACCCCATGGCCCCCCTTCCCCAGCCTCCTATGGTTGCCGAAATCCAACAACATGTGATCGCAGTGGCTTCGACGCAGGAGGACAGTCCCAATGGGGGGAACACAGCAACCTCCCACCATCACACACAGCCCAACGAGTCCCTCCATGTAGTGGGGAAGGTGGAGGCCCAGCTCACCAAAATCTTCGGGGGGCATGCCAATCGCCGCGCTTGCGCAGAGCGCCCTCACAGACGTTCTCCTAGACAGCCAGACGGAGTCGCAACTTTTGCGCGAGTTGGAAATAGAACACAGCAGGCACCACCAACCCCTTGCCACCCCCCCCCAAACGCCCCCCGCACCACCACAACCCAAAACAGCCCCACAGAGCGAGCCCTACAAAACAACATCCTCGAGCAAGCCCACAGACGCTTAGCCTCTGCCAGGGACCATATCTATATCTCCTACTACAACATTCAGCAGGATGTGGATGTAGTTATCGCCTGGTTGAACGAGTACATTGCCAACATGGGCACAGGGGGATGCACCTCTGCAGCATCGTCGTCCGCCGAGATGGTGCCAACCCCCACGGGGACAGACGTGATCCGCAGAGTGATGCCGGCGCTGGGGCAAGCACTGCGTGGAATACAAACAAACAATGCCGACCTCCGGCATTGGAAGAACCTGGCCGAGACGGTCATGTTGCTGCAAACGATCCGCCAGGGTGGAGACGTTACCCACCCAGCTGATGTCATCGCTGAACACAGGGGGACGCTCACCTCACACCTGGCCCGTGAACGCCGCTCTAACCGTGCCAGGGGAATGATCCTCGAACTTCAAGGCCTGCGAGAACATATGGGGGAATGGCCCCATGCCGAGCTCAACACGATCCACGCTGCTCTCTTAGCTGCCCTGGAGGACGTGGAGGACCTTCTGCTTCCACAAAGGGGACTTCGTCGGGGGGAAAGCCCACCACGCGGGACCAATAGCATCGGGGGAACTACCGCCTCCCGCAGAAGACTGGTGGCTACATGACAGACACCATGGCCAGGGGAACGCCCCAGGGACGGACAGGCGCAGCCCGACAGAGCAGTTGGACAGCGACGAAAGCCCGCAATCTCACCGCCGACGCCGACTACATGCAGTTCACGATGCGGAGAAGTTGCCAGACGGCACATCCCCAGGCTATGGGGAAGACGAAGAGCACCCGTGAGCAGCTTTGAGACCGTCGACGGGGGAAAGTGACAGCCTAATATGTGAGCCTACCGCTGAGATGCTGAGTGTAAAGTTATGCTGGCGGGGGATTGCCCGTTTTCGTGTGCATTCTTTTCACTCTTAGGGGGGAGGTTTAACTTTGTGTATCTGCTTTAACTGAGTGAAGGGCCTCCAGTCCGCCAGTCTTTCAAGGGGAAAATCCTCCATCTTGATGCTGTACACTACCGGAGATCAACACCCACATATGTCATGCCCCTTGGGGACCTTAAGAGCTGTGTCTTTGTTGCCCAAAAACATGTGTAGTGTCAAAAACAGCGTCGTGCAGGTGAAAAGCCCCCCTTCTGTACAACTTTCCACATATGGTAGCCCTGTAGGGTTCTTAGGCCATGAGCTGTGCCATTGTTTTATGTACCAATCAAAGGGGGGAGGCACAACCTGCAAAGCACACTACTTGATATCCGCCAAGAAGCTGTGTTTTACATTCTGAGTTGACCCGCATAGAATGTTGTTGTTTACATTGTCCTTTTCTTAACAAAAAGGGGGACACCTTTGAGCCTGAGGGCCTGAGCCGGCCGAGACGGCCTCCTTCCCAAAATACTCCGTAACGGATTCTATTCGGGTGTGCTCACTTTGGTTTCTTGTGCCTACGAAAGGGAAGGAAGAGGTCATGTGCTTAGACTTGTACCATTGAGTCAACACACACTGCCCTGTTGTGGTAAACTATCCTTGTCCCTGTAGGGGGGTCATCTTTGAACTGTGTTCGGCTGTTGGGGGTTTACTTTACTTTGAGCAGTGTTCTATCAAGGCATTTTGACAGTTGACTCCCTCCTGTACAGGATTTCTCTGGGGGGAAGTCCATCTGCTCCTGCCTCCCCTTGCAAACTTTGTACACATGTTAGCTCATTAGGGCTGGGATGTAGGGCGGTGTCATTGTTTCTCAGCAAGAACCGGGGGAAGCCGGCGAGCAGAATGTGGCATGTAGTGCAACATGAAGGCATATATAGATGTTCCCCTCGATCCCCGTTGCCCTCTAACTTCTTCTTTAGATATTTGGTTCCTTTCACAATAGGGGAACATCAAACATGTCAGACCTTCATGTGGGCCACAAGGGGAAGACGAACTCCCATCTTGTAATGGTCCTGCATTTGCGGGGAAATTCAATACCTCTGCTGCTGTCTTCTCTTATCGTACTCCGTCTTTGGTCCTTTTCAGCAGGGGGAATTGAAAACAATCCCTATGCACGAGTGTCAAGAGAGTGTCTTGTCGTCACGTACTTTACTCATCATATTTGGCCTTAGCCCTTCTGACGACATACACTCGTTCTTCACTCCCCACGGGACTTTGGACGGTCCCCATGCCCAGGAGAGAGAGAGAGAGAGAGAGAGAGAGAGAGAGAGACGCCGAAAGAAAGAAAGAGAGAGACAATTCGTAGATGAAGGGGTGAAGAGTGGAGAATGTTTTATTGCCGTTCCTGTATGCTTCCAATCCGTACCCCTTCATATCGAGTCTGTCCGGGGGAGCATCTCTCCAGTACGGCTGAGCCCCTTGGGGAAAATTCCAACAGGGGGGTGAAGTCAGACACCCGAGGACTGCAGGTGCGCGCACGCGCACGGGGGGTCGGGACTGGACGCTTCCTGGCCTCCCCTGCCTGGTAGAGAGAGAGAGAGAGAGAGAGAGAGACTGCGAGTCTGAGAAATGTCTTGGCCAGCTCGGATCGTTGGAGTTACCCAGATCCTTGAGACGTGGAGAGGTCCGCTTGCAGTTTTGGGGATTCTGCCGCAGTTCATTTCTTCACTCGCAAGGCGAAAACTTTTCTGGCGTGCCGAATCGCACTGGGCAGAGCAAGTGCGGTGAAGGACGGTTCTCAACGGAGGTAGGGACGCACGGAGACCGCCGCACCTTGCACCGTCACAGGAAGATAGCCCCCCCAAGTTTCCTGAATTCTTTGCGCGGGCCCGGCATGTTTTCTGGGAAGGGTCTTGCTGCCGAGGGTTGCAGTTTTGGAGTCTGGCAGGTCATGCTTGGTTCGGAGTCAGCCATCCCGCCTTGCAGCAAAAGGCCAGCGTACGCCTAAACTTGCTCAGCGCGGGTTCCAACACGAGAAGACATCCTAGTATAGTCCGCCAGTCGAGCCCACAACATGCATAGCTGGCCCTGACTCTATGATGCCCCTCATTTTGCGGGCTGTCTAACCGTCCTCCTGCCTTCCAGCTTTCATGGCTCCATCTTTGAATCTCCGTGGCTCGGAGATTGTTATCCCTTCATTTCAGTCTGGGGATCTCTGAGTCTTTATGTCTCGTCGCGCGTCTCTCCGTCTGTCTCCATCTGTAAGCTTTTGTCAGAGTTATGCTTTAAACAATTAGCCCTCTCACTTAATGAGGGAGTGAGTGAGTGAGTGGGAGAGAGAGAGAGAGAGAGTGAGTGAGTGAGTGAGTGAGTGAGTGAGTGAGTGAGTGAGTGAGCGAGTGTGACGGAGTGAGTGAGTGAATGAATTAATGAACTGAGTGAATGAAGGAAGGAAGGAAAGGTGAACGAACGTGTCCTTTGTGTTTTGTTTCGCTTTGGCGCAGCTCGTCTCTGTGTTGTCTATGTCACTAGCTTTGTGTGTGTATCTGGAAGCTTCACCCTCCCCCTCCGGAGCTTTCTTCTCGCGATGCGATTCCTGGCAGCTCGCGGAGCTGAACACGCGGACCCTGTTGCTGACTGGCAACAGCTGCACCGACATGTGCATCGACATCTCAAGCATTTCGCATGTTCTTACGCCCTCCCCACTGCCAGGGTATACCGGGTACGGCATCGGGATCAAGTGCTACCTTTTGCCTTGTGCGAGGCAACGACAATACACAGCAAGAGTAGATGCTGGTGTTCTGCTCTCTTAGCACGGGTTGACTGCACTTAGGCCCCCTTCAGGGTAGCCCTCACGGAGCTGGCACCTGTTTTTAGGTGGTCTTCGAGGAGCGACGCGCGGTTGCAAAACCTCTTGCAGAAGCCTCAGTGGATTCCGGACAGAAAGGCTAGCCCCGGAGGTCCAAGTCGATATACGACGTGTAATCCATTGTGATCAAAGTGGACGTGCTCAGATCTGCGAGTTTTGCGAGCAGCGACCGGCAACTGTGTACTGCAAGTCGCGTTCCCAGCTGTTGAGACAAACCTCCAGTCGATTCAGCACAGTGCCGCAAGGAATGACAATGCACACTTCTGTGCAGCGTGGCCAACTCACTTTCTTGTGTGTGAGGCCTCTGGGCATGCTTGGTTTGTGGATGTCACAAGGTGCGATGCAGCGCACCACTCGGAGAATGAGTTCTTTGCAAGGCATCAGAGGCGTGAGCAAGTTTTGCATTGCGTGAAGTTGCAGCGTGACGGCGAACTATGTAGGTTCGCCTTGGAACATTCACCTCTTCAGTTCGGCCTTTGCCGACATCATCCCTCCGAGCGCTATGAAAGTGTGTGCTTGCAGTGCAAGGCATGCTAGTGCTGAGAGGGTTTTCGTGCCGTTGTTTGCCTTGCTGGCCAGACGATGCTTTGCCGAATGTGCAACAAGTTTGGAGACCATGCGCGGAAGGAGAGACATGATTCCATGATCGAGCATTCCAAGTGGCCCTGCAGAAAGGAGCACGAAGGGCACAGCCTGATGTCGACCGTGGAGGATCCCAAAGAGATGAGAATTGGAGCGGTGCCTCTGACAGCCTGGCCTGAGGCGTTCCAGCAGGCCATGCAGGCCCTGCGCCCTTTGGGTTTTTGCGGATTCAGTCTGCGATCAGTTCCCTAGGCGAGCACGGAGTCTGATGCCGAGCACGGTAAACACAGCTTCGCTCTACAAGAGGAGTGGCTGAGCAGATCGTTATAAGCATGGCGTTTCCCCCACGGGCCGCGCAGGTGATGCAGGAGAGGCACTTTCAGCTGATGGAGGTCACCTCCTTTGTGTGACAGTCTGAGTGCCTCAACCCTTTCCTACAAGGTACATTCGAACTTTGAGGACTTCTCGACGGATTAGGCCTAGCTAGTGCCACGCCTCCAGTGCAAGTCAGCAGGAGACACAAGGGCAGATGGATGTCGTCCTTAGAGGCGTCCGAGGCTTAAAGGGCTTAACTGTCGACCGTCCGATCTCTGATTTGCAAACTCGGACGGAGGCTCTGGATCAGCTCGAGCGGGCACAGTCTCGCAAGTTGGAGTTCCTGCAGTCCATGAAGCGACAGGCCTCGGCCTCCTCGGCCTCGGATGCCTCGGGAACAGAGCCCGCCGCAGGTGACGACGCAGCTCCTCTTCATCCAATGGTTGGACAACTTCCAAGCTCACGCTCGAATGGCCTGCAGCCGAGTGTTGTGGTCTCTGTTATAGCGTCCTAGGAACAAGCTTAAGCGGGCGACCGAGCAGCGGCTCGTCCGCATTTTGACTTCTCTCCGCCATTGCCACGTGCGCCGGCGCCGATTCGTGCGCCGGCGAGCTCGCCGAGTATGCTTGCCGGTCGGCAGGGGAGACTGGAGAGATCGTCACACCATCCCACGAAGGCTTGCGGCGACGGAGGTGTGCCCAGCGAACTTCAAGAGGTCGGATGGGCGACATTTTGGCAGCCACCTCAAACACCCTCGCCCACGAAGGCAATGTCGACTTGTGGCTGGTGATGGTCTTCAAGGAGGCGGCCATCACAGCGGCTTTCCGCACGACCTGGGCACTGGTTTCGCTGCCCGACTTGGGCACGATTGGGGCGGCGTACTGGTTCATTGAGCGCCAGTTCCGACATCCTCCGTTCTGACGTGGCATGGGAGATCGACCGCGCCTTTCGGGCGGTGGTTTTCGGGGCGCTCCCTTGTGAATGGGCACCGCTCACTGGATCAGGCGCCGCCGGCTGGCAGTGGGGCGTCGCTGGCCCGGCTGTTGCGGTGCTAGGCGAGGCTCTCGTTCCTGAGTTGGAGCTGGAAGGCCCCCGCTGAGGGCGCTTCCCGCGACGAAGTGCTCGGCCCGCCGTGCGCTAGACATGGACCCGTTCCGAAGGCCCTTGCCGGGCGATTGCTTCGCGCGACTGGCGTCCGGCCAGAACGCCGGCGATGTGCCCATCACTTCCTCGGCGGAAGGTTGTGGTGGCCACTTCGGAACACCACTGGCTACCAGTGCCTTCCTGCCCGCCGCGGGCGGAATCCTGCTTTGGTTTCATGTCGCCAGGTAGCGAGCGTATGGAACGTCAGCCGCATGGCGGACGTGGTGCAGATGCTCGCTCGCCGGGCATCCTGCTGCTGATGTTCGAGACGCGGCCCTCGACACATCAGTCCGCATGCCTGCCTCCGGGCTCCGGAGAGATCCTGAGAGGCTGTTGAAAAGTGATTTGGTAGTGGTGCTGATGCCTTGTGGGCAGAGGGACAGGCTTGGTTGGCGCTTCGACCAAGAAAGGTGCACTGCGCCCTTAGTAGGCTTTGTCTAGCACGTCATTTTGGCCGGAACCTTGTTCCCGGACATTCATCGGACAGGAAGTGGCAACTCGCATCTCCATGGCATTAGCCTTGATCTCCACTTCGGTGTCGGAGTGCCTTGTCGCTTTCTGTCTCTCTGCTTCGACGCTTTCGGGCTTTGAGCTGCTCATCTTGCGGATTTGAGCTGCAATGGGCTGTTTCTGGCTTTGCGTTGGCTGGCCGGGGTCGGGTGGGCTTCTGAATCGGTATGCACGTACCCTGCAGCTTGCTCATGAGCCGCGACATGCCGCCTTGCTCGCAAGTGTTGAAGGTTTGTGATGTACAAGTAGTGTCATGCACGTCCCGACATCCAAAAGATCACAAACAGATTTTCTAGAGAGGTCGGAGGAGAGCCAGAAGTGCAGCGAGTTGCAGCGCAGTGCGGCAGTGTCGGCTCCAAACTCCACGAATGTTTGCAGACCGAGGCCTTGCCTCCTGCAGACTTTGTTGTGGCCACGAAGAGGCCCGCAGCAGCAATGTAATGTCAACTCGCCGCTCGGCCACGCTTGGGGCCAGGCACGAAGGTTTGCTGGCTGCGATGTTTGGCTCTGATGGAAGCCCCCTTAAGGCGGGTTTGATGCAGAGACTGTGCAGCATGAGTGCATCCGTGCGCAGGGCGCAGAGCTGGGGATTGGCCCTGTCCCGTTCCAGACTCGGATCTCACAAACTGTTTGAGCGTCGTCCGGATTGTCCATATCAGACCCCCTCGATTGCTCAGCGCTGCATCCAGAGCTTCCAAAGGCTGTGGGTGGATGAAGAGCTGCTTCTCGAGGGGGCTGCCTGAGCCCAGTGCTGAACATGGAACGTGGGAATGTCCGTGCCCTCCATTTCTAGGTGTCTGTCCAGCTGACGTCCCTTCCACCTCCCATAGCTGAACCTGTCTGGAGCCTATCCCGCGTGCCTTCTTTGGCTTTGCTGGGAGCGGTGCGCTCTTGGACTCAGGGTCCAATGCCTCCGAACGCAACGGTGTCTGCTCTTGAAGAGGCGTCGTTAGTCTTGCTGCGCTTGTCTGTGTGAGCAAATCCCATCCAGGACGCAAGCTTTAGTTTAGTAGCTGTAGTAGCTCAAGTCCGAGTAGTTATGGCTTCTTGGTCGTCTCCGTCGTCTCCTGAAAAAATCGTGCAAGTGTGAGCTTGTGCTGACCGTCTCGGCAGCAGATGCTCGTGGAGTTGTGGTAAAGTAGCTGCAAAAAGTACTGTAGCACAATGCAACACAGCTCAGAACCGATCTGCTGGTGCACCGTTCAGGGCCTACAGGATACACCGACGAACGAATTCGGAAGAGACGGAAATCAGCATCGTGCTGTCGGTGCTTCTGCCGCTCACTCTTCTTGGATGCCAACTTTCCTTGCAGTTTGCGGGGTAAGGAATGTGTTCCGCGAAGGAACGGCGCATGTGCCCGCTGACAGGGAGGACGCACCATATCGAAAATACTGAGCCATCTTCGGCACGTCCCGCCCGGCGAAGAAGGGTTGTATCGGTTCGTTACGAGGCTATGGGGTTCGAATCAAATTACTCGCGTGCAATCCTGTCTGCCGGGGTGCAGGTGTTGGTTTGGAACTTGTTTGCAGAAAGGGGCACTCGGCCCATCCTACCACACGGCGACAGAGAGATCCTGAGCGTTGGCGGCTATATAGAGCTCGCAGAGTGCCGGGGTTGTTGTTCGTGGTCCGAGCTTGCAGGGAGTGTGGGTGTGTGGGGCATACAGCATGGCGTCTTGATTCGTCTGCGAGGTGCCACCCGTTCCACAGCTTGCAAACGTCGGTGCAGCGATTGGCAGGCACGGCTGCTCATGACAAATGCTGGCTTGAGCAAACAGATTCGACATCTTCAACCACGTTACAGCACGAACCGGCAGAAACATGAACAGGTCATTGTCGCTTGATGTCTGTTGACATCACCGGCGACTTCGAAATATCTTGTATGCAATGCTCTCGTCAAGGAGTTTCATGTACTCGTACCGATATGTATGAGATGTGCTACCCGATCCTACCCACAGCTTGTATGAATGAATCAACGCTGTTCCTCTGACACTCATCAAACCTGTGCTATCTCTCGTTCTGGGTGAAAACCAGCAGCACAGCTCAACATTTCTGATTCACTGCTTCAATGTTTCTGCTGCTAGCAAGTTTACAATAGTTTACATGTTTGCGTCACTTCTTAGATACTGCCAGAAGCAATAAGAACGATGTGCTAGGAGCATGGACACCCTGGAGGCTCGTGCACTCCAGTTTTATGTTCTCGCATCATTCTCGCTTTGATGCAGCCTCCGAAAGAAGTCAGGAGCCTGGCTCTTCGTACCTGGAGGCGACCCCCAGGCTGGGTCATGCGAGTTTGGATTGTGCTTCGGGTCCGTCCAAGTTGGGTTTTAACCCAGGCGTCGCTCGAATAATCCCCCGCCAGCGGGCATTGGAGGACGTTTGTGCAAAGGCAAGCTCTGTCTGGCCGTGACTGTCAAGACTTCAGGAATCAGCGACACTCTGTACGTCAAAGCAGAGTCAGGTGAAGGCGAAGACCCATGGCTTCTGTGCTGATTTGCGATGGCCGAAGTGCAGATTGCTGTATGCAGGTCGAACTGCGGGGGATGTCGGCAAATTGACATCCGAGCGGCAAGTTGAAGCTGGAGTTCTTGATGCTTCGGCCGTGACTGCGGTCGATCAAATTCCAGGTCCGATGCTCCCACTGTGGCAAGCTTCCTCCTGATGCCTTTTCGGACTGTGCAGCATGCAGGTGGCCAGAGCCGCGCAGAGTTTGATGGTTACATCTCGCAGGCTGCCTGGATAGTCCTATCTTTCTCGACTTGGTACTTGGAAGAAGCACAGAAAAACTCCCGAGCAGCCCTGCCCGCCGTCGTATTGGCCTCAGAATGTTTGAGTCCTTCGGGTCGCTTGGGTGCGCCTTCTCCAGGCAGTGGCCGTGCCTCCCCGTGTTCCAAGTCTGCAGCTTGCGACCGAGGCCCTGACGGGTAGTGGAGGGAGTGGAGGGGTTCACCAGTGCTTCACCTGGTCACATCAGAACCCAGTATTCATACTTCGCATGCGAGGTTCTCGTTCAACTGCGCCAGAGTCGGATGCTTAGACTATTCCGACACACCGTGTTGTGCAGCAGTGATCTGCATCTTGACCTGTCGCAAGGCGCGGAAGCATCGGGGGGCCCTGCTAAGCCATGGGGAGTGCTGCTTGCCCTTCTCAGCTCATGCCCAGGTGCAATGTGTCAGTGTGACCGCAGTGGGGGCGGAAAAACCGAAATACACCGATCGAGGGGCCAGCGATCGGCGCAAAACTGCGGACACGCACCGATACACCGATACACCGATCGAGGGGCCCGGGGCGGGCGATCGGCGCAAACCTCCGGACATTGTTTGCACTTGGCACCGGTGTCAGTTGACTGGTGGCACTCCAGCCTGAGACCGCATGGCCGGCCGACTTTGGGTGTATCGGGAGGGCGTGAGGGGCGGCGACACGACAGTCCAACATCTCGTTTTTCGAGCACGTACCGCAGCTCCGTTTTTTTCCTAAGGTTGACTCTGGTCTGGGGTCCTTGGTAGGGTTTGCCCAGTCCCCCTGATCCCTCTGGTCCCTGGTTTCCTCCCCTGGTCTGCAGGTCCCCAACCTTCGGCGGTCTCTTTTTTCGCCCTGCCGCAGGTCGCGGGCCACAGGCTGCGGCCCAAAAGTTGGGGTGGGGTATGGTGGGGTTTAGCAAACGAGATATATGATGAACCGGAATCGCTAACTGCTCTAAATGGGAGGGCGTGTTTAAGATATATGATGAGGGGGCATGTTTAAGATATGTGGTGGGGGGGGGGCGGGGGGTGGGTGGCGTGTGTTGAAGATGGATGATGAACTCGAATCGCCACATGAGGGGGCGTGTTTAAGATTTATATGATGAACCGGAATCGCGTTCAAGATGTATGATGAGCCAGAATCGTCAAATGAGGGGGCGTGTTTAAGATACATGATGAACTGGAATCGACAAATGTTTTGCGTGTTCCAGATATATGCTCATCCACAATAGCAGCAACAACAAAATCTATCTAGAGTGTCTGTTAAGTACACGTGTGTGTGTGTGTGTGCGGAATGCAGAGTCATGTTTGCCCTGTCTCGCTTCCAAGTTTTCGCACGAAGCATGTTGGTTTACACGTGAGAAGACCTCCCCAGGCCCCAGACATGCATCAATACACCATGGACAATGCTTCACAAATAGTAAGCTCCCTGCGTGCCGTGCGCTGCTTATCAGCCCCCAGGACAGCTCGTTTAAGCCACGCAAGTTCGCTTCAAAATCACATCTTGCCA